CCTTGTACTCAGTTCCAAGATGAACTTCCCACACCCAATCTTAAATGGAGAAAGAAACCTCATCTTGGAATTGAGTAAATATGGTAATAACCAAGGAAAACTACAAAGTCCTGATTTTGCAGGCACTGAACACCTGTCTACCTGTGAATAGTCCAACTGCAGACAATGGCATTATTTCAGGGGCAAATCCAGCCAGGGTCATTGGTATGGTCATAAGTGCCTTTGTCTGTGCCTTGCTTGCTGCACAGTAAGCTCTCTGAACTCAGCAGCATGTCAGCCCAACTCAGCCCAACTGGAGTTTCACGTGTACTGTGAGTTCTGAGCTCACCAGCTGGTCAGCACAGGGTGCCTGCTTTCATGTGGCATCCAAAGGATGGGTACCACTGCTGTTTTCCCTTCTCCTCTTTTCCCTGCTTCCCCTGCCACACCTAATTCAGCAGCAGGGGAAAAGAGGGAGTAAGCAGCTGTGCTCCAGAGCTGCATGAAAGCAGGAGGTGACCACTGTTACTGTCCATCCCCTCTTTTCCCCTGCTGCTGAAGGGCAATAAGGGAGAGGGTGGGAGAATGGTGGTAGCACTTACCAGCTGGGGCTGTGGAACCATCCAAAAGCAGGGACTCTGGCCAGACCCTGCGCCAACAAGATGATGAACTCAGAGTTCACACCACATCAGAACACCAGCTGGAGCTGCACAGACATGCTGGTAAGCTCAGAGAGCTCATTGCCATTTAAGATCATGGTAAAGTAGGTGTGTGGTCACACCAGGTTGGCTGTGTGCCACTTGCACAATGGCCACAACCTCTTTGCCAGGACCCTGGATCTGCCCATGCTTACATGTATAAACACACAAATGTACCCAAGTGTTTGCACAACCTGGGTCTCAGCTGGGCAGCTCCTAAGGGTCTTTTTTATGTTTACCTTCACCTATTCAGCCTGTAAAGTTCTTGGGGCAGAAGCTTCATCTTTCTTGAGGTCTTTTGCAGTACTGAGCAGAATCTTGGAGCTTAATAAACAAACCATGAAAATACATCAGAATAGAAATATTCAGATACTTTGTTTAAAAATATAAATGTCTTTGTACATTTTAAGTCTATGTCTATACACAGGCATGGCCATCTTTTCATATAATAATGCCAGATGACAGTAGAAGATGCTCATGCCAATTAAGAGAGCCTAAGAAACACCACAGTATAGCAGGTTTGCGATAATCCAGTCACATGGTCACAACTATGATCACAGCAACAGACAGAAAACAAATAGTTGTGAATCAAACACACAGTTTTCCTTTATAGTTCTAAGTGCTGTCCCCAACATGTCAGTCTTCTGTGGCTGTCTTGGGAATTCAGATGATTGATTTGCACTAATACTAATGGGAGGCTAACAAGATTGCAATTTTCTGCATATCATGCTGTAGCTAATATACCCTTAGGCTAACCAACAATATAGCTCTACTACTGACTGCAAGGGAAGGTCATAGGTGGAAAAAGTACTATTTGCGGGGGCTGAATGTGTGTGTGTGTGCTTGTGTGTACGCACTCTCCCAGCCCAGCAGGTAAGTCTGTCATGGGGAAGAGGTGTGGGGGAGCAGATAGAGGCCCCTGTAGTGAGGGAGGGAATGGGGCAGAGGCAGGCGCAGTGGCTGGGATGAATGGGGCCCTGAGGCCAGGGTAGACTGTGGGATGCTCAGAGCCCAGACTGCTTATCCAGGGACAGAAGGGCTCCCGCTGCTGCGTGCATCCTGGCAGAGGCCCAGGGGGCAGACGTCCCCTGGATCTGTGTGCGAGGCAGAGGTGGGCTGCACTCTGCACTCTGCTGCCACTGTCTGGGACGGAGTGCACACCATGGCAGGAGCCCCCCTGCACCCCTGGATGCACCACCCAGACTCTGATCATCCCACAACCTGGCCTGGGGCCCCATTCACCCCAGCCCCTGCCTCCCCCTGACTCTTCCCTACTCCCTCTCGCACTGTGGGGCCCTCAATCTGGCCCCCCTTCCCCTTCACAGAGTACACTGACATTTGCCTGCCTGCTATGCTGAACAGTAATCCACATGGCGGGGCTACGATCATGGCTGGCTCTGATTCTGGCTGCATGTCTGAGCGTACACGCTCCTCCCCTCCTGCTGCAGCAGCCCAGAGCCCACAGCTGGGCTGCCCTGTGGCCCTACTCACTGCCCTGCATGTGTGGGGGCTAAACCCCATTAGCCCCAGCCTTTCATCACCTATGGGTAAGATAACACTGTTTTGTGTCTATGTTTTTAAAAGTCTTCATAGATTTGTCACCTAGTGCATACATAAGACTTTCCATGACCACACTGAAAAAAAGAAGAGAAGTAAATGAATGAAACATAGAATAGTTGCTCCCATTCTCCAGCTTCATACTGTCCCAGAAGCTGCTGCACAGTATATGTCATCTGGTCCTCCTGACATTACTTTAGAACCCAGTTATAGTAAGGTTTCAAGAGTAGAATCCATGTCTCCCACTTCCAGATAGTCAAGTAGACAGCAATAGGGTAGAAAAGGCAACAGAGTTAGAAGAAACTTCTCTTCAGACTTCATCTGGTGCACAGATACTGCACCAGACATCCAACTAGGGAGGGAATGAGGAAGAGAAGCAAGACCGATGTAAAAGCATTGATTGAGAAAGAGACAAACACCTCTGTGCATACTGCTCAAACCAGCAGATATTTATGTGCCAAATACTCAGCAGAGAATAAGTTCTAAAAGATTAACAGTAAAACAAATATTGTTCTTCTATGTCCTCTGGCTTTTTAGTAATATATATATTTCACTCCCTTTTTGCCGTTTTTGGTAATAGACAATGAAAGGAAAACTCCTCCAAGTAATGTAGGATGGGAAATAGGAAATAGGACAATGATTCTCAACCAGGGTGCTAAAGGACCCTGGGGTGCCATTAAATCCTTTTAAGGATGCCACAAGGTCTATGCAATATTAGTACTTTTATATGTTCAATTCCTTAAACATGATTCACAAGATAAATCTAGAGATTTCACATTGGAATCAACAGTGTCAAATGCATTCTGACCTGTTGTGATCTTTCTGAGCTCTTTGCAACAGAAGAACTGCTGTAATACTTTCCCCTAGTCAAAAAACAAGAGCTGGCCTTCTCAAAGAGGTGCCTTAAGTCTAAACAAGGGGTGCCTTGAGTCTAGCAAGTTTGAGAATCACTGATGTAGGGTGCAGGGGTATCAAAAGAGGCTGTTCAACACTGATGGGGGGAAGTTCACGATTGCCAGGAAGAGGCCTGGAAACAAGGAGGGAGAATTCCCTGAAACACAAGGCAACCACAGTCAATGGAATATACACTCCTAAGTGACATAGGAAATTTTGAAGACATTACTGTTTGCCAACCTGATGAAACAGACAACAAGAAAACCATTAGATGGCTTCCCTTCTCTGTTTACTAGAGAAAAAACAGATTTTACAAAATGTCCTGGAATTTTGGAAAAACCATTGTGGTAGAAGAAGAGACAGCATTTCCCTGTCTGTCTCTCCCACTTAAGTACAACCAAAATAAGTGGCAGATTCTTCACTCTGAGGAAGATGATGTGAAAGAACCCCATACTTTATACTTCTCTCCTTTCTTTCCAGAAGGAACCATCCCTCCTTTTCACCCATCCAGACAACCTAACCTTAGTGCTTCTCAGCCAAACAGGTGTTCTGGACAGCAGCCATAACCCACAAGGTCTCTGCAGGGATCTCCATACAGAGCTTTTTGTTTAAAAGTCATAAACCTCCACTCCAGTCTGTCAGAGTTCTGCAAAACCATTAACCATTTGTGTGCCTGCAGAATAAGCAATATCATTCTTGCTAACATTTCCCCATAACAAGAACTGATTCAGTTCAGGGATACCTTGCTTCAGTCACCTCCCAGATGTAGCCTTCATCTACTTTCCTCCTGTGTTGCTGATGGTGTTTAACTTACTCACTTAGCTCACACCCTCTCAGACAGCAGCTTCAACACTATATTCCAGATCTAGCTTCAAATATGGGATTAGGAGAAAAGAGATCTTAGGAAGTCATCCATGCCTTAAATCAAACCACTGACCACAGCAAGTAAACACTAAGGGTCTACTCAACTGGCAAATCTGCAGATTTCTCAAATACTGCAAAATCTAGGAATATCCACAAAATCAACTTAAAATAAAACTTAATAAAAATCAAATGCTGGCTCCTCAATGGGAGCCAGCAGTCTTTTTCCACTGCAGCCCACTTCACAGCATACCTGGGGGGCTTGGGGAGGAAGGCACTGGCTGGTGGCAGGATGGCACAAAGGGCAGCAGACAAGATGGCAGCCACCCCCTAGTCCCTCCTTCCCCCAACTTGGCCTCTTCATTATTCAGGAATCTATGTCCCAGTGTGCCATCCTACAGTGATTAAAAAAGGCACAGAGATGAATATCAAACCACTTAGCACGTCTCTGGTTTTAATCAATTCAACTGCACAATTATCAATCGTCAAATGTCAAAGACAACCACGTTTTATGTGAAAGAACATTCTTTCCCCCAATTTTCGGATTTTTCCTGAGACTTGCTTTTCAGAACTACAGATTTGTAGTCATCACAGTAGTGACATCACAGAAAGTTGTGTGCCAGAAGTCTGCAATAACAAGAACAGCAGATGAGGACCTCACTATAGGGAGTGTTCCATCAATAATGATCCTTAGAAGGAAAAGGATCTGTCTTTTGTACACAGGCCCTTTCTGGTTCCTGTCTCAACCTAGTACGAAAATTCCTTCATAAAGCCCAGAAAGGAGAAGTAATAACCCTCATCAGACAAATCCACCTATCTTTCAAAGGACAAGTGGAAATGAACTGTAGTAAATAACCTGGCTAAAGAACACTCACATGTTGCATACGTAAAAAAAACAATGGTGAAAACAGTCATTTTCATTATTTCCCCTTGCTTCCATCCCCACACCCGCACCTCTCAGCCCTCTTTCAGGACCAGTGTTTATAAACAAACAACAAAAGAAAACCTCACTATGTTCATGAGTGTTAAGACGTAATTCTGGACATGTTCTTTCCCATGGAAACGCACAACTGAGTCATCCACTGCCAGCAAGACCTCAATGTTGTAGTCATCTTTTTTGGCATGGCGTTTCTTCCGCTCCACTTCACCCAACCGGTCTTCAATTAGGTCCAGTGAGTTTGGGAGCTCACCCACACTGAAGTGTGGAACTGAAAAGGTGAAAAGAAAGGGGAAAGAAAAAGAAAAATTAAGGTCACTAAATGCCAAACAATGTGGGTTTTGCAGCATTTCCTAGCTCTAATGCAGCCACTGCCTACTTTCCTAAGTGTGTGTGCATTTGCCTCTCTGTGTGAATGCCCATAAAATATCTGTCTGATGCCTGCATTGATTCTCCCCACCTCACTGGCTGGTAAGGGACAAGCAATCTGCATATAAACTATAGGAGAGAAGTCTGTGGACAATGCCCTGAGTTTATCTGAATTCCTTACTCCCCCCCCCGAAAATTCTGGAAGGAGAGGAAAAAACTTGTCAAAATAAGAAATAACAAGGTGCCTGGTGGGTGTTTAGTAACTAAACTGCAGCTTCTGGTCTTTTACTCCATGTAAGAAGACAGTGCAGGCATGTTCTATTTTTGATTCACTAGGGAACTAGAACGCAGTTTCACTCCCAGGCCTAACCAGACATTCTACTGGCAGCTCTCTCTGTCAATCACAGCTTCCCCCAGCCCAAGACACTGTCCACAAGGGTTGTGCAAGGCTTCAGACAGAGCTTTGGATCTGGAGAAGCTTCGGATGCTTCGGGGTCCAAAGCAGCACGTCCAGGTCAAAGTGTTGGCCTCGTTCAGCTTCCTGAAGCAGTTTGGAGCTTCCGCCTTCGAGATCCTGCCATAGGGTATAATGGGGAAACAATAAAGTATCTATAACTTTGCTGTTTTTTGTCTGATTTGGATTAAATTTTCAGGATTGGTAGACTCTGCAGAGAGCATGAAGCCTGCCAAGTTTCAAGAAGATCAGTGCAGGGGTTTGGGGAAAACTGCCCCTCAAGCTGTGGACAAGCAAAACTCTTGCCATGGGTGACACTGCGTGTGTTAGGGCACAGCGAGGTGACAGCTGCAGGGGTGGTGGCACCTGCTGCGGCCATGACACCTGCCAGCTCTCGAGGAGATCAGTGCAGGGGGGTTCTAGGGCCCTGCACCCCTAGCTGCTGACAGGCAAAATTCATGACATGGGGGCTTGTGGGACTGACTCTCTGTCTTGGGGGTGGGAGACACTACTGCAGGCCTGGCTGCTAAACTACTGTGTTACCAGTTACCAATCAATCATGATTCACTCAGGGACCAGCTCAATACACAGGACCTAGCTAATGTAGCCAGCTAATTGCCATCAATTAGCACCTACAAAAGCAGAGACTAAAGAGACAAAGAATCAATACAGGCAATCAACTGGCCCAGAGACAGGCAGTCCCACAAGCACCCATAGCACGAGTTTTGTCTGTCAGCAGCTAGAGGTGCAGGGCCCCAGAACCCCCCTGCACTGATCTCCTCGACAGCTGGCAGGCATCATGGCTGCAGCAGGGGCCACCGCCCCCGCAGCTGTCACCCCGCTCCGCCTTAACACACACAGGGTCACCCATGTCACAAGTTTTGCTTGTCCATGGCTTGAGGGGAAGTTCCCCCCCAAACCCCTGCAGCTTTGACCCCCCTGTGTTGTAACGCATAGACGTGACAGGAGTTTTGCTTTCAAGAATTTGGGGTACAGTTCCTCCAAAACCCCT